CATTTGCTCCATCGTCGACAAACGCGTATACAGTGATGTTTTTGTGTTTGCCATATAATGTGAAATTTGGAACAAAACGTTTTCGTTGTCACGTGTTGCATGGCAATTTCTCCTTTCGGGTTCGGTTTGTGATGTTCCAAGTGTATTTTGGATTTGTTGTGGCAAATTATTTGGTGTGGTGTGGCGATCTGTCAGCATCGCGGCTGACGTCGGTGTAGGTTTGTGCAATAGTGTCATGTGATTTTGGGCAATCATTTATGCCACAACGACGTCTCATTATGCAGTTTTTCACTTGGTGGTATCTTTTCAATTAGCAGAAACATGTTTTGAGCTGCTTTATTTTGTTCCATCTATCATCAACGGCCATCTGTAAGAAAGACTGACAATTTTTATCCACCATTTTTTATTTTATTCACCCAGACAAACCAAACATTGGTGACTTTGTGCAACTCCAACGCAAGCAAATTTGCGACTTGATGAGGGAGCAGGAGGCTGGCGGCGATTGGAGGTTATGGGCTGAGTGTTATGAACCATGTTAGCTAAACGACGAAGAGTCAACCATTTGGCAAAATCAACAATAGTAGCAGGTTGCTCTAGACTTATGCACTTTTCTGCCCACTGCATTTGTCTATTTGTCGATAATTTGGATACCAATTCATTGAGGAGCAACGGGGTCGAAAGATGTTGGTCACCTTTGGCATTCTGCAAAAATGTCGCCATATTGGTAATTTTGTTGGCATAATTAACCAGTGCGTGCAAATTGTCATTGTGAATCGGAGGGATGGATCTGACCTTTTCCATATGGCTCCTTATCAACTGCTCTGGTTCTCCGAAAGTCTCCTGGAGTCAATTTAAAATGGCGTCGACATTGGCAGAATTACCAAGCAGAGACTCTACGGCTTCTTTGGCAGAACCTTTCAGTGCATCCCTCAATCTCATTATGTTGTGCAGGTTGGAGTAACCAAACTCCATAGTAGTGGTTTCAAAAGACTCATGAAACGTGAGCCATTCTTCTGGCAATCCCATAAAGGTAGGCAATGGGTATATCTTTTTGTGTGGAATGGACGTTGAGTTGTTGGCTGTGGAATTGTGGACGGACATTTCTGAGGTTATGGGCATTTGGTGAGTTGGTGTGTGGGATGGCGTATTCTCAGGTTGTGACGGTAGCTGTTGTTGGCTTAATTGTGGCGGTTGTTGTTGTGACGGTGTTGACTGATTATGAAAGGCTAATTGTGAGAGTATTTGAGTGTCTTATTGTGATTGCATTTGAGTGGCGGTTTCTAATAATTGTGACTACATTTGCATGGCTAGTTGTGATTGCATTTGCTTTGAACTATCAAGAAATTGTGATTACATTGCCTGCATTTGTTTTTGCACCGCTGTCATTTGCATCTTCATTTGATTTTTTAAATCGCAGATTTCGTTTGTGGACTTGGAGTTTGTGGCAGGTGAATTTGTGGTAGTTTTTTGTAGCAGTAGTTGAGCAGGCTGTGTTATTTGTGGAAGTCATACTGACCGAAGCTGTATTTTCAGGTTCGTTTTGTTGGCTGCGAGACGGCGTATTAGATTTCGGCGAATTAGCGACGGACATTTCGTAAGTATCCTGATCAAAACGAGCTGGTGGAATTCCTTGGGTGCTTCGGTTGCTTGTTCTTCTTGACTCCTGGTGATCTGACATGAAAGAAAATACTGGCAATATCACAAGGTAAGGAATATGATTTTAAAAAGTGACGATATCTTAGTGCGAACATGGATTTAATACAATTGTTTGCAATAAAATGGCACGAATGTCTGTCCGTCCAATTAATATTTTTTAAGAGAAAAACACACACATATACTCATAAATATTCGCAGATATGGCTTTGAGGTTCCATGGACTTTTAAAACATTGAATAAATTTGTTGCTTTTCCAGATTTGTATCACCAATTGAGAATAAACGTTGGCTTCCTTTTTCCTTTTAGATTGACAACACAAGGCATTTGGCTTTTTAAATTAAATTTCTGCTGGCTTTATTTATACTGGTTATCGTAAAGGCGTAAGGATTACAAGTTGGTGGTTTATTCACTAACAATGAAATAAAGTCACAATTAATAAAATGAACATTAAAAGTTAAATAAAATGGCAAAATATTAAAATTTTAAATAAAGGCACAAGCAAGTTAAGTTACATGCTTTTTACTTGATGATACAAATGAAAAGGAAAGTGTCGGCTATTGACACCAAAGGCTCGCTTCTTTTGCTTTAGGCTGACAACCCGAACAAACCATCTAACACCAAACGGCAGTAATACAAAACAAAGGCGACGACCAAAATCAGACAAATCCAATGTTGCTTAAGTTTGATATTAAAATGTGATGCGTTTATTCGCAATAGAAAAATTAATAAGATTATAGAATTAAATTGTTAAAAACGTTCTTACATGTTTAAGTTGTCCAGCAAAAAAAAAAAAAGACAGAATCAACGCCTGAAAGGTCCATTCTAAGTGACCATCACCGACATTCCCGCCCCCGTGAACTGACCCAGAAGGGGAGGCTTCACCAGCATTTTCATCAGCATCCAAAACAGCAAGTTTGGAAATAGGCCTTCTATAAAACCCAGAACTAGTACTGACTTTGGCGGATTTGGTGCAACACCATCTTTGCATCGTTCGACGAGTTAAATCTGGCAAATATTCCCGGACCCATCGGTGCCACATACCATTTTTCAAATTTTTTACAATTCGCCATTGCTTACGAAGCGACATCAAACGGGGTTCAACGGTGCTGGTGTTTGAGTAGAATTGGCACAGCCAAGTAAAAAGTGGTTTGGCGTCAATGGATCAGGATCCTCAGGGCTCACAGCCAAATGAGTCAACGGCCTGGAATTAATCATGTTCTCGGACTCAATTAGAAACGAGGGTCTCGAATTTGGGTGAATGTTCTCGTAACATCACATTCATAGACTTCTTGACCGATTGGACAAGCCTTTCCCATGCACCACCTTCACTTAGATTTGACGGAGTATTAAACTTTCATTGGATGCCCAACGCTGAAAGGGACGAAGTCATAACATTATTGTCAATAAAACCTTTCTCACCATTTAACTCCTTCTCGATCCCATCGAAATTAGTGCCGTTGTCGCTTCGGATTACCAAAGGAACACCTCCACGATTGATAAAATTCCTTATGCATAATAAACTGCTATCACTAGAGAGATCGGCAGCTATCTCCAAGTGGACAGCTCGAACCGTCAAGCAGGTGAATAGACGGACATATGGCGTTACACGGTCTATTGGCAAAAGACCCATCTGAGGCTGACATGGCTTCGCTCTTCGAATTCGGCAAACCTGACATCTTGATTGTGTGCTGTTGAGTAAACGACGAAGAGATGGCACCCAAAATCTCAAATGTACTTCAGCGATGACTGTTGACTTATTTATATGCCAAAATTTGACATGATACGATTCGACAAGTAGACGTGTAAAAAGGTGCTGATTCGGAAGAATGATCGGATTCTTGGAATGGTTCGGAAGACATGGACAATTCGACCAGATACCCTCAGTAATTTATCTGAACCGATAACAGGATTCAACATCTTCAATTTGCTGTCCATACTCACATGACCATGTAGACCAATATCGACAATTTCATCAGCATATACTTCTTTTTGTACATTTCGGCACAAATATTGTTCTGCCCATACTTCTTCTTCTGCCGAAAGTTCACCCTTTAATAATTCAACCTTTTTGCATTTGCGACAAAAATGTTCTATGTACCGATGCACCCATGCCATGGTGCGTCTGTACCGACGATATTTGGAAAATCGAGTTATATCTGGAACCACCCAATCACATTGACGAGACACGAGAACGACATGTTTTGATCTCAGCTCAGAGTCACTGGCATCCAAAACATTTTCAATATTATTTCCTGAAGGCCATTGAAATTCAGGAAGACATAGAGGCCGTTTTTCCATCGTCCGTGCACCTTATATCTTATGGGAAACTTAGCTCTTGTTGTCTCATCGGCCGGATTGAGAATACCTGGACACCATTTCCAATTGTGCATTTCACTGCTATCAAGGTTTTCTGCCACCCTGTTGGCCACATATTGCTTATATTTACGGTGATCCGATTGAATCCAACGAATCACTGTATGAGAATCTGTCCAAAAATAGATGTTATTAATACTTTTCACATGATTAGATACGAATAAATCTTTCATGCGGACAGCCATAACGGCTGTTTGCAATTCTAATTTGGGTATGGTATGGTATCTTGTGGGAGCACAAGCAGATTTTCCCATTACAAAAGAAACATTAATTCCCGCTTCACTTACCATCTCTGCGGCTTCTTCTTTGTTTTGAAAACAGTCGACATAGTCGTCTACATAATGGCGATTAACAATTGCTTCAACTGCACGAAGTGACTCTTTCACAAACATATTGGCATTCATATTTTTTACATATTGGGCTATAGTAGGCGAACAAGTTGCACCAAATATCAGTCTTTGCATAACAAAAGTCTCCACTCTTTTATTTTTATCTCCGTTTCTCCAAAGGAATCGTTGGCAATCTTGATCATCTTTGGCGATTTTGACTTGATGGAACATCTTTTTTATGTCTCCACAGGCGGCTATCGGAGCTTCACGAAAAATAGTTGAAATTAAGGAATTGTTCATGTTTGGTTCACTTAAAAGGCACTTATTCAACGACACGTTCTTCACTTCGGCTGCAGCATCAAACACAATCCTAATTCCTATTTTATTCACATTCTTAACACCGAAATGAGGCAGATAAAAAACTCGTTGTGGATTTAAAAGTAATTCGTTCACTTCAACCTTTCTGCAATAGTTTTTTGATATGTAGTCATTAATTTTCTTACAATATGCACTACCATAGTCACTATCCCGAGCCATTTTATCTTCCACACTGTATAAACGTTTCAATGCCATTTCATATGAATTTGGGAATGGAGGTACGTTTTGCTTCCACAAAAGACGACATTCATACCGTTCACTAACCTTTCTTGTGTAGTTTTTAGCAATTCCATAGCTCTTTCATCGTCGGATGTCAATAGTTTTGTTGTGGTTACATTTACACCAAGCGTTTCCATATCAAAATAGTTTTGCATCATCCAGTTCATTTGCTGCATGCAATTTCCTGTACTGTCTCCTGAAGGGGCACGCATTTTTATATGAAGAGCGCAATTTCTGGTTACAACTTTTTCTTCGGGTGTTGGGCCATAAACAATTACGCCCAATCTTGTTGTGGTTAAAATCGGTCCAGCGGCAGTCAACGAGCGGGGCACCTCCAGTGGAACTGTTAAAAAACAATGGTGTAAACTAATGATTAATTTTGGTTTCACATTCGTGTAATTAGCAAATTTTATTTTCGACACATCAACATTATTTGCTACCCATTTTTCCAAATTACATGATTGAATGGGTAATGACAATTTTGAAGTGGTATATACATTTTCATTACATATCATTTGTTTTCTCTTCCCATACCACTTATTATTACATCCACTACTTCAAAATCCTCCGCCACTGAATGCTCATTTAACCACTGTAGGGATAATTGTGTCTTGTTTCCATTTAGTTCCAGATCTTTGGCAATTGCGCTGTCTAGAATGGTTACATTTGCACCGTCATCTATAAAGGCATATGTAGAAATGGTGATATCTTTGCTGTACAATTTTACGGGCAATATTTGAAAAAGTATACTACCAGCGATACTTGCGACATGGCAATTTCTTTGTTCAGGTTGCTGTTGAACTGATCCACTTGCGTCTTCATTTTCATCATTTGAACCAACTTCATAGTGCAGTAACACATTGTGGAACTTTTGACATTTATTTTTACTGCAACGCACCTTATTTCGACATTGATTCAATTGATGGCCTTTTTTAAGGCAACAGAAACACAATTTTAATTCTTTTACTTTCTACTTTTCATCAATATACATTGTTAAGAATTGTTTACATTTTGCAATTGACGTACAGACCCCGTAGCACATAACACAATTGTTTACTGCGGTACATGCAATATTGCGGCTTGGCTGTGTGGCTTGATGACGATTAGTGGACACGTATGATGCGTATGGGAGGGTATCGTGGACGATGTTAGCAACTCGTCGTAATGTTTGCAACCAAGCACTGAAATCTAAAATAGAAGGCGATTCATTTAAATAAAGACATTTTTCACCCACTCCATTTGTCTGTTTATTGGTAATTTCGCTACTAGTTCACTCAGCAAAGATGGGTTATGTAAATGACGTTCTCCTCCCGCGTTTTTTAAAAATGTTGCCATATTTGATGCTTTAATGGCGAAATTAATTAAGGCATTCAAATCATATTGGCATTCAAATCATAATGGTTCAACGATTCTCGGGCTTTGCCTTTTAACGCGTCTCTTAACCTCATAACATTGTGCAAGTTGCAGTACCTAAACTCATTTGTGGTGCTGTCAAAAGACTCGTAAAATGTTGGCCATTCTTCTGGCAACCCTGAAAATATTGGAAGAGTATAACAGCCTGTTCCACGATCTCGAAAGAAAATTTGTGCGAACGAAGGCTACTCACTCACTTTCGTATAAGAATGCGTTCCACTAACTTTCATTCTTTCTTTCGCATAGCCTTACGTGATTCAGTGTTGCTAAATATTTTTTTGGAAAAATTAATCTCGAAATAAAGCAAAAAAAGCGTCAAATGTCTAATTTAAACGCGAAAAAGCAGCAGTGGCTCTGTCTCAACTGACATTTCAGTTGTAAACAAACAAATTGTAAATAAACAAACAAAATAAAATTTCTAGTGATTGTGTTCAAACTATTTGTGCTCTTAGAAAATAAAAAAAAGAATATTTCCGTAGCCCTATTTTTTATGGAGGAGGTTCGAAATGTGCCACGGAGGAATTTAAGAGATGCTTCGAATTTATTTGAAGTACCTAACAACCAGTAAGTATGATTGTATTTTTACATTTTTGAAATAATAAAAAATGATTTTTTCTAGGTTTGTGGCCAACTTTCGTGTGTCGAAGGAAGTTTTCGGGCTCTTTTGGATATGATGGAAGAGAAGTGGGTGCACGGTTGCAGAACTACCCAAATCCGCCCCGATTTAAAACTTCTTCTGCTGCTTCCAAAAATTGGCATTCCTCTGGCGAACACAGGATTCTCCTCCATTTACTCAACTAGTGCCCGCAGCTGTGTAGTTGATTTTTTCGTGCTGGAATTGAGAAAATAAAAAATATATATATTTGTTGTTCACATATTAAATTGCATTTATTATTTTTACTTACATTTTTGTTTCCATTTTCAATCAAGCAATGTTTATGTTAAAACAATTTTCCTTAATTGTTATTATACGATAGCAAACACACAAGTGACTGATTTTGACATTTGTGTTCGCATGCGTACGAAAGAAAAAAGATAGTGGAACGCAAAATTACACTGAAATGCTTACGTTTTCGTTCGCTTTGATTTTCGTGCAAATTTTCGTTCTGATAGATTTTAGTGGAACGGAAATCAGCTGTTTGTCGTGTAAAAGTTGTGCGAACGTGTTCTTTCGATATCGTGGAACTGGCTGTAAGTTTTCTTTTGAGGCAAATCGACGTTATTATTAAGCGAACTATTTGGTTGTCCTGGCATGTATTGTATTGAATAATTGACGGTGGCATATTGGGCAACGTCGGTGGTATTTGCGGTGCTGGCGGCCTAATGGCTTGTTGTGACATTATTGGAGGCTCCAATGGCGTTCCAAATGCTTGTTGTTGTGGTGTTTGTGGCTGAGGGCTTTGGACGGACGAGTTTGGCTGCTGCGATGACAAAGTTTTTACCATTTCTTTTTTCATTTCCAGCAGCTGACTTTGAATAAATGCTTGCATTTGTTTCTGCATTTGCTGCAGTTCTTTTCAAAACTCGGCTGCTTCGTCTGCAGCTGACGTCGTTGGCTTGGCAACAGGCTGCTGACTTGTTGGGATATTTACGTTCGGTAATGAGCGGGCACCATTTGAAGAAGGGTATGTTGGTGTGTAGGGCGGCGAATGTTGGAGACTCACTTCTGTTCGATATGCGTCGAAATGGGCGGGTGGTTTTCCTTGTGTCGATCGCTTAATTCTCTGTTGCCTTTCTTGTGACATCAAATGGGCATAGGCATGTAAAAATATAACACAAAACGGCTTCACAGCAAATTTCACAAAATGTATCTGCAGCTCTTTTGTCTTGCGTAACATATGAGAAATGATGAATAACAATGTTTGATGCAAATGGCTCATCAAACATCGAATAAAAATAATGTCGGCTACTGATACTAAAGGCTCGCTTCTTTTGCTTTAGGCTGACAACCCGAACAAATCATCTAACACCAAACGGCAGTAATACAAAACAAAGGCGACGACCAAAATGAGACAAATCCAATGTTGCTTAAGTTTGATATTAAAATGTGTTGCGTTTATTCGCAATAGAAAAATTAATTAGGTTATAGAATTAAATTGTTAAAAACGTTCTTACATGTTTAAGTTGTCCAGCAAAAAAAACAGAATCAACGCCTGAAGGGTCTTTTATAGACTTAAAGAATGTTGCAAACAATTACATTTACATTTTCTTAGACAATACAAAAAACAAACTGCAATAAATTATTGATCAATGGACTTTTCGAAATTCAGGATGCGTTGGTGTTCATCACCGACAGAAAGTATATGTGCCTGATGGGCCTTATATGTAAAAATGTTAACAAATACATACATAAATAAAATAATATACAATAACGGCTTAGGAAATTTTGCGTCATGGGTTTTCCTCAACATGACATTCGTTCTTGAGTTAGTTTTTGAGTCACAAATTGGCAGTAGCAGGGTTGCCGTCAGCAACACAAAGGAATTTGCCAACGTTTAATGTTCTAGGGAGTACCCGATTGGTCATCATCAGCAGAATGTCATGTAAAAAACTTCAAATATGCCAAAATAATACTTAAAATGGTATCTCTGGGATTGATTTAGTATAGCTCAAAGTTATTAGGCTGACAGAAATTTTCAAAGGAAAATGCCAAACATCCCAGTATCAGCATATTAATGATTTAGTATCAGCATAATTTTTATCGCCTTAGCAAATTAAAAAAAAAAAATTAAAAGGGTTCTTTTTTGCGTATTTATTCTGCATCTCTATGTTAAAAATCTTCTTCTTCATGTTAATATTAATATTAAAACTCTTGTTGTTGCAGTAATAATAAAAAAGAACTTGTACTTATATAAATATTTTATGAATATGAATAATATCCAAATGATTCTTAGTTGGAAGTCACTGTGATGCATCTTATACTTTTTTACTTTTAATTTACAATTGTTTATGTTTATAATTGTACACGCTACGTTTAAAATTGCAAAGCACACACATTCGAGTAGTTTTTGCTTTTTATTTAAGGTTAGGTTAGGTTATGTTGAAACGAGGGGCGAAGCAATTCGCCGCATGCCCAGTTGGGCATACACTTAAGCCAGTATAGGCCTGTTGTGCGCTCTAGATTAAGGGTTTTTTGAAGAAGACGGTCAGTTTACAGTCTGTTATATTTGAAATTTAGTTGCCCTTCTGAAATTTCTTAACTGTCTTATAACATTTACCAATTTCTGAATAAGGTCTGGTATGGAGTTGTTCCCTATAAATTGGGATCTAATATTTGCAAACGCTGGGCATTGGCAGAGAGAATGTTTCAATGTTTCGTCATCTTCCCCATATGCCCTGCATATGCTGTTGTACATTAGAGCTGGTAAGCCCAGGTGCCCCGTAAGGATGCCTGTTATCTCACTGATCTCTTTTTTACCTAGTAATAAAAGGTTCTTCGTTTTTATCTCATCTGGATCGACCCATAAGATTTTTGTGGTTTTTCCTACGCCTTCATTGTTTTATAGGGATATGTGGTCGTTTTTTGTCCATGTCTTTAACACTAGACGTGGCGCATTTAGCGGCTCTGGATTGTCTACGTTTATTGTTGTCACCATGCCTTTTTTGGTGAGAGAGTTTGCTATCTCGTTAACTCCCGTATGATCTGGTACCCATACAATGCGTACTACGCCGTGTTGACAGTAGTTGTTGATTGAATTTATACAAACCAAAACAGTTTTTGAAGTTACTGTTTTGGATGTTATAACCCTTGCAGCCGTCTTGCTGTCCGTTACGACCTTTACGGTAGCCGGTCACGTGTTGGCCAGTTCAGACACTTTGCAATCGCTCGGACCTCCACTTGCAGGATCGTATTGTGATCGAGCAAGCGGAAAGAGTTTCCAGTCGGTATTTGTGGTAGGAATCCGTCGATCCATTAGTCTTTGGTAGGGATTAATGTTTCACATGAAGCAGCTACAAAAGTTTCAGGTGTCCGGTCCCATACAAAATTTTCTATAGATTCTCCCGTTGTTACCTGTAAAATTGTTTGATGGTATGTATCGAGGCCTTTGTTTATCAACTCGTCCGTAGCCCTGAGCTTAAGGCCGCGTCATACCCTATCTGAATTTCTATTGGGTGCATAAATAGAATTGTCTCTAATGCCCTAGTTGGTGATGTCCGGGCCACAGAGTCCCCTGTGAGTACTTTACCCCATATAACGAAACCCTCCGACCCTCCGGTATTTTGATGATTTTAGCCATATTTTTCAGCTCAATTGTCTGAAAATCCACACAAGGAGTTCCCTGTGGGAACTTTATTCATTGGAAGAGATTTTTCTATATAGGTTCACGATATCGTATAGCCCCCATATAACGGTACCCCAATATTCGGTATTTTGATGATTTAGCCACATTTTTCAACGGAATTATCTGCAATTCTACACAAGGAGTTCTTTGTGAGCACTTTACCCTCTGAAAGGGAATTATCTGTAAAGATCCACAATATCGTATATCCCCTAAATACCCCCGATATTCGGGATTTTTATGATTTTAGCCACACTCTTCAATGGAATTGTATGAAATTCCACACAAGGAGTTCCCTATGATCAGTTGGGATCATATTAAAGTTTTTACTGGTGCAGTTATATTTTTAATTTATTACATTTCCCTCATTTTTATACCCTCCACCATACTATGGAGGCTATATTAACTTTGTCATTCCGTTTGTAACTCCTCGAAATACTCATGTCAGACCCAACAAAGTATATATATTCCTAATCAGCGTAAAATTTTAAGTCGACTTAGCGATGTCGTCTGTCTGTCTGTTGTACTCACGAATTGAGATAGATGGATAAAATTTTGCACACATATTTATTTTGCCAGTAGGCAGGTAAATGGGCCATGTAGGTCCACGTTTTCATATAGCCCCCATATAACGGTACCTCCCGATATTCGGCATTTTGATGATTTTAGCGACATTATTTACCCGAAATGTTTCAAATCTCGTATTTGAAGTTCAAAATGTATACTACCGCCTAAGACAGAAAATTTTCTGTGCAGGTCCACGTCTTCGTATAGCCCCCATATAACAGTACCTCCCTATATTCGTTATTTTGATGATTTTAGCAACATTTTTCACCGAAAATGTTTTAAATTTCGTATTTGAAGTTGAAAATGGAAACGTCTTCATATAGCCCCCATATAAGGGTACCTGCCAATATTTGGTATTTTTTTATTGTAGCATCATTATTCACCGGAATTGTTTCAAATTTGTCATTTCGTAATGGATAGTACAACCTATGACAGAAAATTGTCTGTGCAGGTCCTCGTCTTCATATAGCCCCATATAATGGTTCCTCCCTGTTTAACTCAGGGGAGTGGGGGAAGAATGGCTTCGATTAGCGGCAGCGACAACAAAACTCCCCAGAGTTTTTTATGATGTGAGAATGAGGTATGCGATGTGTAGGTGAGAGATGTGGTGAGGTGCAGGTGATACGCGTGTGTGGTGATGAGAAACTAAGAAAGAAAATATACAAAGAATAAAACACAGAAATAAAATTAGTGTAATTCAATATATGATTTCATAGTTTTATTGGCGTTCTCTCTTTTCAACGACAATCAAAATTACCTTTAGTAATTAGGGTGGCGACAGAGGCCGTGTGCTTTCGCTTTCGTTTCTACAAGACAAGTGAACGCAGAGGTTCTAAGTGATCGCAGAGGATCCCTTGTCTATTTCTAATACATATGCAAATACAGACAAGTGAACGCAGAGGTTCTGAGTAACCGCTGAGGGTCCCATGTCTGTATATTATTACAACTACAACTACTTCCAATGAACACAAGGTGAGCCTACCGCCAACAAACAATACCCAGCGGCGATCTGCTCACTACGGTATCCGCCAAGGGAGTTGTAGAGGAGATGCCAGTGTGCCAATCAGCATACGTGATTGACGAGTATTGGAAAGTTGTGGTGGAACGTATCGAACATATACATTCCGGCCCCCTTGCTAGAACTAAGAGTCTCGCAATCTATATCAGAAAGTGTTATAAGTTAGGAGAGAACGTAAATTCAGATTCCTAAGTGAGCTACAGTTGCAGATTTTCAAATTATGACACAATCGATTTAATTTAGTTTTACAATTTCAATGTTTAGTGCATGTAATATTTTTAAATTTTAAGCGATATACATTATTTTAAGAAATGTTCGACTTCAATTTTTGGTGCGAGATTATGTAACAGTCGCGGGAGGTACTGAACCGGTGAGAATGTACCCGAAAATAGACTTTTGGGCCAGCAACGAATCCAAAACAATTTGGGGTGGTTCAGCTTCGAGTATCTTAGGATATAGGTCAGCGTCAAGCAGCAAATCTATTGGGCTATTATCGAAAGAATCCGCTAAATCAAGATTAGGAATTCGAGTTTTTAAATCACAAAAAGATGGTGACGAGAACAACTTCCCCTTGATTTTAGGTAAGACTAAAGCTTTAGTTTTGACAATTCTATATGAATTTTTAGGGGAAGACAATTGAAGAGAACAAGCTTCTCTTGTGCAACAGCTTTAGAACAAGTAGTCTCAGATTGAGTTAAAATGCCAAGTTTATTTTTAAGTTTTTTTACTAACAATTGATGCCTTGGAAGAAGGATCTGCAATTGCTCGAGCAGTGTACGATTTGCTATTATGGACAATGTTTACTAGTGCAGTTCCCATTAGCACATTATCTTCAGTGGTGTTGGGAGACTGGCTGGAACTATTTTTAGCAGAGGGTGGGTGCGTTTTAGAGGGGTTTTGGCCTCGACTTTTGACCTTCGTAAAAGCCGGAGGGGACATTGAACCTCGACTTTTGACTTTGGTAAAGGCCGGAGGTAATTTCTTAGAATTCCAAACCAGATTTTGAGCAGACTTGCAGAACAGCGAAGATTTTCGACTTTTAGAATTATTAGAAACCAGAGATGGTTTTGAGCGTGATGCTGCAACAACTACAGTAGATTGTGGCCGATGAAGAAGGCTGTGATGCCTTTGCTTGCAAGATTTGCAACTATTGGTACTGCGACAATGTTTAACGCGACACGCGAAAGTTAATTTATACAACACTTATTCTTTTTCACAATCAAGAATTTGTCCTCAAACGAAAGTTTTATAAACTTGGGGCAGAGTCGAAGAACATGATTCTCGATAGGACAAATGGAGCAATAAGTGTTTGGCCGAGAAGAAGAAACAGGCTCATTTAACTTGTTAATGGTGGAACTAGATGTACAAGCATGCTTGGATGCTAAGGATCGATGCGGTGAACCACACTTTGATAACGATTTCTTTGCAGGTCTGGGAGGAGTAACATGCTTTGGCGACAATGAGGAATTGGGAGAAACAACAACTTTGGTGGACGGACTTTTACGCAAATTTTGAATGCATTGCAAAGTTAGTATTCTGTCTGAGAGGAAAGCATCTAAATCTGGCCAGGAAGGCAACAACGACTTATTTTTGATGCTTTGCTCCCACAAAGTCAAGGTGGTTAAGGGCAAGCGCTGCAAACAGATATGTACAAGAATTGGATCCCACTGATCCGTGGCGACGTCATAGACGGCCATTGCAGCAAAGCAGCTATTTATGCCACGTTGGATAGTTTTCAATCCCGAACAAGTTTCAAACTTTAAAAGTGGAATATCAAACAAACTTTTTATGTGACTATTCACCACGATGCCCTTATTGTCATACGCATCGGACAAAACTTTCCACGCTAAGGGGAAACTATAATTTGCCTTGGCCTGAATTACTAACGAACAGGGTGGTAAATAGGTCTCGAAAAGTGGGCCAAGATACAAAATCACAAGCAAAGACTTCGATATCAATAGGTTGCAATATGAAACAATGATTTTCGAAGGGTGAATTGGAACTTATATTAATCGGAGATTTGTAGCAAGTACTAACGGGTGGAGAAGCAGACTGCACAGGAACCGAAAAGTTAGGTTCGCTCAAAAGCAAGCCTGAAGGTGGTGTAAAATTACCATTATTAGGAGGAGGAGCTACAGCAGAACAATTCTTATAGACGGGTGAATTGAGACGAGCCAGATGCCGCTTACTTGTGGTCAAATACCAATGGTATGCGATAAATGAATTATTATATTAGTCCTCAACGCCCATTATCAACCTGTGCAGTCTCCCATGCCGTGAGGTAGTTTTTGCACTCAGTGTAAGTATGCAAGACCTTATCCCACAATTCTTGAATTTCCGTAATTCGAATTTCGAGATTACATACACTAAATTGAGATTCTTTTTTCTGTTCGTAGAATTCAACAGATTTGAGAAGAGTGTTAGAAGCTCTAACAAAGCGAGTAACTGGCGTTATCGACATTTTGTTACTGTTTATAACAAAAACAATACAAACTATATGCAAAAGAAAGACAAATCTGACAAAGGTTGCCATTATTGAACGGAAATGACAAATTTCAAAAACTGAAAAACTTGACTCCAACTGAAGGTTATTTTACAAAATATATGTACGACTTTCAAAAACCTTAAGACCAATACGATGTTTCAGATTTACAACGTGACTTGCAAAATCGACTAACTCTACGAAATATTTAATGCTAAATTTGGTAAATTTTTAAAGTTTATGCCGAATGTAGGGTGTATTCTTCCAAAAAATACCCAAACCCTACAGAGGATCACAAATAGTAGCAACAGCTACTAATAAATTGCCCAAAAAATTGAAGAAAATAGCCACAAACGAATATTATCGACTAATGTTTGTTCTGAAAATATCTACAAAGAATTCCTAATGTAGGGTGAATTTGTCCAAAAATTCCAAAAACCCTACTAGGTTGCAATTGTTCAGCCAAATGTTAAATTATATTTACAAATTTTGCAAATCTAGCAAGAAAAAACTATTAATTTTCACCAATATATGTTACTAAATATGCCTGCAAAGAATGCCGAAGGTAGGGTGAATTTGTCCAAAAATTCCAAAAACCGTACTACTAGTCAAAAATATATCACAAAATTAACAAAAAATAAATTCTAAAATAAATTGCAAAAAATTCACAATTTGTGCTGTTTTATCCCACTGTGCCGAACCAACAACGGATATCGCACAAAGAGGAATAAAACACAAACGACGTCGGCAGAGAAATGACTATGCGTAAGCAGCTACGCACCCACACAACAAGCGACGCCACAAACGATCCAAGAGTGAGTGTTGGAGATCAAAACACTTTGTTGTTATTTTTACTGAATATCAAACCGACACTAAAAAGGGCGCGTGGAATGATGATATATTGTTGTTGCAATTTTTGGCAATGTAAATTCTCAAGTGAGAATTGATCAACGTTAAGAAAACGAAGGAGAATTGCAACAAATCAAGTGTTGTTGGAGAGGACGACAAATAACCAACCGACAGAGATGTGGACTGTTATTATATGTGCGTTGTTTTTGTAAATTAGAAACAAAAAATTCTCATTACAGGGCTCAGCCTTTAGAGGGGGGAAAGAAATATTGGAGTTAGAATTACAGCACAGTTTGGTTGGTGAGGAATGCAAAAAAAAAAATAAACCAAACGACCGAATGTGATGAAATATTTATGTGTGTTGTAATAACAAATGTGGAGATGCAAATTCTTCTTCAGATAAGGCGAGAGAGCATTTGCGATTCGACCAAACCGAAAAAATTTAAATATTCACTAAGGAACCGCGGGTAGCTCACTTCAAATGGTAATCTGAATTTACGTACCTGTTTCTTAGAGTTAATTGTACTGATGAAAGAGAATCCAGTGATTTCTTCATGCAATGCAGGGAGCAACGACAAGGGGATGGCTTCAATCCGGCTCGATGCGACCAATGTTTAACTCAGGGGAGTGGGGGAAGAATGGCTTCGATTAGCGGCAGCGACAACAAAACTCCCCAGAGTTTTTTATGATGTGAGAATGAGGTATGCGATGTGTAGGTGAGAGATGTGGTGAGGTGCAGGTGATACGCGTGTGTGGTGATAAGAAACTAAGAAAGAAAATATACAAAGAATAAAACTCAGAAATAAAATTAGTGTAATTCAATATATGATTTCATAGTTTTATTGGTGTTCTCTCTTTTCAACGACAATTACCTTTAGTAATTAGGGTGGCGACAGAGGCCGTGTGCTTTCGCTTTCGATTCTACAAGACAAGTGAACGCAGAGGTTCTAAGTGATCGCAGAGGATCACTTGTCTATTTCTAATACATATGCAAATACAGACAAGTGAACGCAGAGGTTCTGAGTGACCGCTGAGGGTCCCATGTCTGTATATTATTACAACTACAACTACTTCCAATGAGCGCAAGGTGAGCCTATCGCCAACAAACAATACCCAGCGGCGATCCGCTCACTACGGTATCCGCTAAGGGAGATGCCAGTGTGCCAATCAGCATCCGTGATTGACGAGTATTGGAAAGTTGTGGTGGAACGTATCGAACTTATACACTCCCAATATTCGCTATTTTGAAGATTTTAGCATCATTATTCACCGAAATTGTTCCGAATTTGGTATTTGAAGTTCGTAATGGGAACTACAGTCTGTGACGATTTAAGGTGCAATACTCACCGAAATTGCTTGAGATGTCGTATTTGAAGTTCGTAAAAGATGCTACAGTCTGTAACAGAAAATTGTCTATGCAGGTCCAGGTATTCGTATAGCTCCGATATAACGGTACCTTCCTATATACGGTAATTTGATGATATTATTCACCGTTTATTACAAGTTTGGAATTTGAATTTGGTAATGGCTTATGACAAACAAAGCCTATGTAGGTTGTAGAGACCCCAATATAAAGGCCATATTCGGTATTTTTAAGATTTTAGCAGACTTTTTAATTGATTTTATTTTGAAAATTTCCAAATTCATTCCAAAAGGTGGAGGGCATTTAAAGTTCGGCCTGGCCGAACTTACTGCTTTTTAACTTATTTATTTTCTATTTACATTATTACCATTATATTTAACTTTTTTAATTAGTTAAATTTGCATATTAAAAATACATTTATGTAATAAAAATTAAATACTTTTAATTAAATAGTATTAAGTATTTTTATTAAATACGTTGTTTTGTTTCTTCTTTAATTTCCACTTATACAAACTGTGATGCTCATATCGCATTTTGTCGGATAGGATGTTCAATTAGATACTGTAAAAAAATGTAAATGTAATAGAAAAAAATAAATTAGGATTACTGAATATTATGAATGAAAAATACAAATGGCATATGTACATTCAAACGAAATAAAATTTTGTTTTCTCTCTCATCCGAGATATGCATTTTGTCCACGAGTTAAAATTTCCATGAAAAACTGGAAACTTGGAGGAAAACAATAATTTCTTCTTCTCATATTAATCAGAATTTCGTGTACAAAATTTTTGAAAAAAGGAATTATTTAATTATGAATTACTAATCGTGTAATATGAACGGGTTAATTCGCGTACCCTATTCTGAGAGCGAACAACATGATTGAAAGGGCAATGTAACATAGCATAATACAGTAATAGTTCTTAATTAAGCTAATCATTCACAGTACATATCTTGTTATCGAAATGAAATAACAGCCTGTTCCACGATATCGAAAGAAAATTTGTGCGAACGAAGGCGAAGTGAGTGACACTTTCGTATCAGAATGCGTTCCACTAACACTCGTTCTATCTTTCGCATAGCCTTACGTGACGCAGTATTGCTAAATATACCTTTTAAAATTTAATCGCGAGTTTAAACAAGAAAGCACCAGAACGACTGATCTAAACGCGAAATAGCAATAAACAAGTTAAAAAGCAGTAAGTTCGGCCGGGCCTGGCAAAATTTTAACCATAGATAGCATGATTACAACAGACAGACGGACATAAATCGACTTAGAATTTCGAGGAGTTACAAACGGAATGACAAAGTTAATATACCCTCCATTGTATGGTGGAGAGTATAAAAATACAACCATGCGTAAGCTGGCTCTGCTGCGGACGCATTTAAGAGATACTTCTTATTTGTTTGAAGTACCTAACAACTAGTAAGTATGATTGTATAGTTACATTTTTGAAATAATAAAAAATGTATTTTCGTAGCTTTGTGGCCAATTTTCGTGTGTCGTAGGAAGTTTTCCGGGCTCTTTTAGATATGCTAGAAGATAAATGGTTTCCCGGTTGTAGAACAACCCATGTACGCCCTGATTTAAAAATTGGCACATTCTTGCGGTTTTTGGCGGCAGAAGCAACTAGCAGCATTTAGAGAATGAAGTCCTGACTTCAACGCGAAGTCTACAGTGAGCAGAACCCATGCTGAATGTCTGCAGATTTTTAAGAACCACATTCGCGGCCAATGGATAATTAAAGAATGTAAAATTACCAGTTTTTTTTATTAAAATAAAATATATAATTCCAAAATTTGTTTAAATTATTATTTATGATGATGGTTTGATGTTCCATGTTTTGAAGTTGTTTGGTTGGGACACTGGTTTATTACGTTGGTGTTGTTGTTGGGTCTTTGTTTGTGCTGACAGTGTTTGTTGTTTTGCAGTTTGTGTGTAGAGACCCCATCTCTCTGATTTTTGGAAAACAAAATTATTTACCACCCCTTAGCCATATCCGTCCGTCTGTCCGTCTGTTGTAATCACGCTACAGTCCAAACAAATTAAGATAGGAAGCTAAAATTTTGCACAGATCTGTCTTTTGTCTGCAGGCAGGTCAAAATGGGATGTATCGGTCCACGATATCGCATAGCCCCCATATAATGGTACCCCCGATATTCGGCATTTTGATGATTTTTGCCATATTTTTCAATGGAATTGTCTGAAATTCCACACAAAGAGTCCCTTGTGAGTACTTTACCCCTTGGAAGAGAGTTATCTATATAGGTCCACGATATCATATAGACCCAATATAACGATACCCCCGATATTCGGTATTTCATGATTTTAGTCACATTTTTAAACGCAATTGTCTAAAATTCTACACAAGGAGTTCTTTGTGGGAACTTTATTCCAGAGATTTATCTATATAGGTCTACGATATCGTATAGCCCCCATATAATGGTACCCACCGATATCCGGTATTTTGATAATTTTAGCCACATTTTTCAACGAAATTGTCTTAAATTCTACACAAGGAGTTCTTTATGAGCATATTACCACTTGAAAGGGAATTGTCTATATAGGTCCACAATATCGTATATCCCCCATATAACGGTACCCCCGATATTCGGGATTTTGATGATTTTAGCCACACTTTTCAATGGAATGGTATGAATTTCCACACAAGGAGTTCTCTATGAGTACCTTATCCCCTGGAAGAGAATTGTCTATATAGGTCCACGATATCGTATTTCCCCCCATATAACGGTACCCCCCGATATTCGGTATTTTAATGATTTTAGCCACATTTTCCAATGGAATTATCTGAAAATCCACCCAAGTAGTTCCTTGTGAGTGCTTTATCCCTTGGAAGATATTTATCAATATAGATCCACGATCTCGTATAGCCCCCACATAACGGTACACCCCGATATTCGGTATTTTTATGATTGTAGCCACATTTGTCAAAGTAATTGTCTGAAATTCTACACAAGGAGTTTTTTGTGAGCACTTTACCCCCTAAAAGGGAATTGTCTATATAGGTCCAAGATATCGTATATCCCCGATATTCGGGATTTTAATGATTTTAGCCACATTTTCCAATGGAATTATCTGAAAATCCACACAAGTAGTTCCTTGTGAGTACTTTATCCCTTGGAAGATATCGTATAGCCCCAATATATCGGCACCTTTCGATGTTAGGTATTTTAAAGATTTTAACAGAATTTTTAATGGATTCTATTTATTTATTTATTTATTTTTTTTTTTTTTTTGAAAATGTCCTTATTCGTTCCAAATGGTGGAGGGTATTCAAAGTTTGACCCGGCCAAATTTTTTCTGCTTTTTTACTAGTTTTTTTTTTTTTAAATAATTGAATAGAAAACACATACAAACCCAAAAACAAACCGCTCTACCTTGATTTAATTGTACCATGATTTATATGAGCATGCATACATATAGACGTACAAAGCAAAGCACTTATTCCTCAATAGCTGGTTTTTGTGTCCCTTCTCCAAAATAAATTATACTCGAAACAGCTTTTTCTTTGTCTCTCTTTCACTATTATCTACTTCTCTTTGTACAGAAATATATGTTTCCCTAGAATTAAGAAGGTAAAGCCATTCAATCATATCATTACAATTTTTTCATAATTATTCTTTTGACAACAAAAATTATATTTATAAATCCATTGTATACACATGGTATGGGAAGCTGCTTTTTATTCAGTGAAATTTTTCAAGGTAAATTACAAAAAAATCCGAGATGGGTAGTCTTTTGTGAAATGACTTTTTCTTCTTAATTTTACCATGCTTTGATCAAACATGGGGAAAATATATTTTACAAATGTGAACAAACGCAAACATGTTTTCCCATAGCAATCTGTCAAATAATTTAACATCAAATCAACTCTTTATGAATTTCACATTTGTTCAATCAAATTTGCGAAAACAAATTTGGATCAAATATTTGCCCAGTGGGACCGTACCTTAAATTAAAAATGTTAACCCTTTGATTTGTGCGTACATTTACCAGAAAGAAGAAGGCAAACAAAGTTTACTTTAGTTTGCTCATGATAATACGGTGGAAGTTACATTATTTTCCTTGCAGAAGGTCAATAATGTGAATAAACACTTTTATCAACATCAATTCTCTCTACATTAGATGTTTTGATATTTAACTTTTGGCTATTTTTTCATTGTCTTTTGTTTGTATACGTATGTTTAATTATACATACAAAAACAAACATAATCTGAATGGCATTTGTATCCTCTTAACTATGTATTTTAACACACTAGGTTAACCAACTGTATCTAATAAATCTAGTGGGTTAAACTTCAATAGTATAAATGTGCTTTAAAAAAGTAAGCTTTAAAGTTGGATTTAAAGATCAAGTCGATTTATAATGACTAGTCTAAATTGACTATTAGATTAATTGCAAATCGTATATATATGGGAATCTTTTAACCGGTTTGAAAAAACTACACAACTCCACACAAGATTTCCTGAACAAATATTTTTACTTGTGCATTTGTCAATTCAAATCTCTCTCAGAATTACAATAAAATATGTCCCATTCCTAAAAATTGGGGTATTATCGAAAAAATAAATTATAGCATTTAAAAATGGAAAATAGATCGACTTTCTTACAATTGAAAATTGAAATATATTGAAAATGTCAAGCCAATAACATTGATATTGACTTCATCCAAGAATGTCTCCTGAGGAGAAACAGCAATGCAAGAGGAATATAGTGCTATTTTTTATCACTCAATTGTTGGTGTCGTAAATGTCGTGGGGAGTCAATGCTTGCATAATACAAATAGTGGCAAAGCATAATGGTTTGTCCAAAGATATGATCTGACATCAACTGTCCATCACTTCAGATGGAGCCACATTTGGAAAAAGTACTGCGTCTATGTTAAAATTTTGGTTTCATTCTTGGTGGTGATTTGAACTCGAGAAGTCCTTCTGGGGAGACCCTGAGGAGAATACAAATAGAAAAACATTAAATTCTTGGCTACAAACTAATATAATGGATGTAAAACTTACCCAAATGGTCCATCATGTTTACACCATTTCTTAATCAATCCAAATCTAATTCACTTCTTTACTCCCAACTTCACAGTCTCTCTTCTACCAACTTTTTCTGATCATTTTCCATTTAATCTAGCACTAAAATATTTTTAAATGCACCAAAAAAAAAAAAAAAAAAAAAAAAAAAAAAAAAAAATAATACATATACAAATTGGGACAATTTTCGAGCAGATTTCGATTAATCACTACAGATATTGATGCGATTATTCAGAATTTAAACTCCTGCTATAATAGGGTGCACGATGTCCAATCAAGAAAATAACAGTCAACGGAAAGTTTCCCAATTCTGAATGATCAAAAAGACTATATTTTTGTCGGCGTTAAGGACGGGCACATTTCATTTTCGTTGCTAATGAATTGTATATTTTTTGTAATAAAACTTGGTACTCTCGTTTGACTTGTCGTCAGACCATTCCCCAATTATAATAATATTAAGGGATATTAAATACGTAGCTTTCCCTATTATCTGCCAAATAAATAAACAGATTGGATGAAGTACTAAAATATGTCAGCACACTTGTAAGTCTCAACACTTCCCTAAAGTCCGGAGAAGAAATTGGAAATTTAGTTAAAATGCTTACTTCGGTAGTCAACAACGCTGTCAATGTTGCCACTCCCACTAATTCGAAAACCCGTCTCCTTAAAAAGGAAGGCCAGAAGAGAATGGCAAAAGCACAGCTAATCTAGACTTCGTGACAAATTAAAAGAATGTGAAAAACTACTAGAAGAAGCACTCAGATTAAATGAAGAGCGAAACTTAAAAATTTTCCTAAATAACCTACAACCCACAGAGAGAACTGATTACAGCTTATGGAAAGCTACAAAAAAATTGACAGGACGTATCGCCCACGAATTTCCAATTCAAAATTCCAAAATGGGACCTGAGCAACAACTACCGAAGAAAAAGTAAACACATTCGCCACGCACCTTGAATCTGTATTTACACCAAATCCCGGACCATCGACAGTTGTTTAACCTCATTGTTTCGAACCCAATACAATTTTCTGTAAATGGCATCGAAAGTTCCATAGTCTCGACGAAACTAAAAAAATCCCCTGGCAAAAATCGAATTACTCCAAACATGCTCAGAAATTACCAACTACGGCCGTTAAACTATTGTTATTCATATATAACAGCATTCATCGAGTAGTAACTCCCCCTATTACATCAAGTAAGATTATTCCCGACCACCAATTCGGCTTCCGTAAGAACGACAGTACCATTGAGTAAGTCCACCGCAGAGCCACAAACATTTGAATGGTATTCGATAGGAAGGAATATTGTTCCGAGTTATTTATAGACATTTCCCAAGCCTTTGACAGAGTTTGGCATTTTGAAATTCTATATAAAATTTGCGAAACTCTACCCAAAAACATCTAGATACTTATCGAATCGTACATTAGTTGTCAAATCGAATGACGTACGTTTGCTGATTAAACTGCTTTCATATATGTACAAGTGCCAATACCGTCGCATTAAATTGTTATGGTTCAAATTCTACTGAGTAGATTTTGAGCCGAAATTTATTGTTGCACAAAAATGAAAAACAAGTATTCTGAAGGCACGAACGTTTTGTTGTCTGCACAAAAAATCACTTTCAATGTGTAATTCAAGTCAAATGTTGACTTTTGCGGTGAAATTATTTGATTTTAGAGTTTTGCCTTGTTAAGGCGAAGATCATATGTTTTATGATTTATGTGTTTGTTTTCTCTTTCGAGA